AGATGATTTTATTCAAAATATTGACTACACTCGGTCATCGGCCCTCGTTACTGATAGAGATAGCAATATTGACCTTAATGTTATGGATACAAATAAAATTAGTGATTTAAAAAGTAAAGGTGAAAAATTAAGAAAAAATAAAGTATATGAAGAACCTTCTAAATTTAATGATGATTCGATAGATATGACAGGATCTGATGAAATTGTAAAAAAAAATCTTAATCCTGATTCAAACTTTACTCTTATAGAAAATTGCTATGATGTTAAGGATTCTTTTGTTGCTATTAATCATACTAATGAAAGCGGTATTCACGATACCTTCCCTAACGGGAACTCGAAAAATTCTGCGAGCGCATTAAAATCGATGATAACTGAGGATCTATTTGATACTTCCGGTGAATCTACTTCGACTTTTTCAAAGCATCTGAAACACGGGAATAATAAAACGAAAGAAGTTTTTGACATTAAAAAGTCTGAATCAATTAATATATTTGTTAGAGAAAATGACCCATTTGATGATGATGAATTTTTTAATTAATATATGCTTAAAAATAATACGACGTCGAATTTGTTTCGAAATAATGAAAAAAAAAAAAAAACGTATTACATCGATTTGTAAAATATAGTAGTTATAATATTTATGGAATGTATAGTCGTTTTTAAGGTTATTTATTTCAAATAATATTGAATTGTAACTAATAAAAATTTTTAAAAACTTGATTCGATTCAAAATACAATCGAAGCTACGGATACCATTTGACAGTAAGTATAAGCTTGATATTTTCAAAAAATGCAAATGTGAACAGTTTTTAAACAATCATCAATTAATATTATATATATTAATATTAAACTATTGTATCGATCGATTCTAAAATCTAACTAGCTCTTAACCTCAAAAAACATCATCCATTGTCTTATACCATATTACCCTCGAAAAAACATTTATATATATTTATATATGATTATTCATGAAAAATGGCCAAATATAATCATATATAATTATATATAACTATACGTAATTCTATATAACAATATTTTATTATATATTTATTACATCTAATTAATTGGGTTAATTCTATGGATAGAGTATTTAATATGGTCCTACGCGATTCTCTGTAACCAATTAAAATTCAAAAAAAAATGTCTAGATATAATTTTACGGCTATAACACCCGCGGTCACCCATCCAACTATTAAGCCTGCATAATGCTGCTTAACTTTGGTGATCTCCGTGCGTCTTGAAGTTTCTGTCTGCTGTTCTGCTCCCTGATTAAAAAAAAGTATTAAGACAAAGGAAAAAATATTAAAAAGAATTGGTTTTCTAGTCAATCCAATTCTTTTCAATACTTTCTTCTTTGTCTCAATACTTTTTTTTATTCAGGGCTGACTTAGATGATAATGATTCTATGATCTACATAATGTATCATATGAGTTTATCATAAAAATATAATATAAAAATTAATTTTATAATATATTTGGATAGTCATAATTCATAATTGATTTATTTCACCGAATCTCATTATAATATAATACTTATTTAAATAATAAAATAAATAATGATTTTACTATCAAGTAGTAGCAGAGCAGACCAAAACATCTCGTAGGAAATGTAACAAATTTTGTAATTCAGAATTATTTAATCGTAATTATAAACATCATTTTACACTTTTTGTGATTACCAGAAAAAAAATCTGGAAAACGGTTGACCCTAAAGGCCATCCCTGCAACTTCCCGCCAATTCCATACCTAAACGCTTGAAATTGCACTTATGACATTTATGAGCTCAAAAATACAATTTGTGTGTTATTTTGAGCTTTCCAAGCTCAAAGAAATAGCTTTTCTATGCTTTTGAGCTCTTCGAGCTCAAAAGTCTGATGGATGTTTAATAAAACAGTATTTTTTGAATTTTCAAACTGCAATAATTTCTAAATGAATGAATCGATTTTCACGTGGTTAGCAGTATTTTACGTAGTTTTTCAGAATCTATGATATACTTTTGAACACAAACTGATCGAACCAAAAATCTTAGAGAAATTAAAAAAACTCACGTTTTCCGAATTTTTTCGACAACGATAACTCACGAACCAATCAACCAATTTTCACGTTCTTAGTGATCGACGTAATTGTTTGAGCTCTTATAATTATTTTATTTCATCAATAACGGTCCAAGAAGAAATCTCGAAGTTATGTGAAAAAAACACTTTTTTCGAAATTTTTCGTTTTCAATAACTATCGAACGAATCAACCGATTTTGATGGGACTGGTGGCAATCGACGTGGTTTTTTAAGCTTAAGAGCTGATTAGTTTTTGGAATTGATCGGTCAAGCCGTTCAAAAGTTATTCCAAAAAAACGATTTTTTGAAAATTTTATTTTTGAGATTTCTCAAATTCTAGCGAACCGAATCTATTCAAATTTTCACGAAATTTAATGGCTATGATACTCTTTGGAACGCCACCTATTTCGATCCAATTGGCAGAGCCGTTCAAAAGTTATAAGAGGTTTACATACACACACACACACACACACACACACACACACACACACACACACACACACATACACACACACACAGCCACACGGACGCCATCGCGGAAATAGTCAGGGAAGCTTCCTAGGACCTCAAAACGTCGAGATCTAATGAAAACTCTATTTAACGAAAACGGGGT